TAATGTAGAGATGAGGATTTTTTAATTAGTTACAAGAATTTTGAAATTTGGAGGTTTTTGCTTTTAAAAAATTCACACATCCAGCCTCTTGAAAATGTGACTGATCTGGCATCCTTCAGCTGGCTCTCTTGCAGGGCAGCAGTTGCTGGGAGCTCAGAGGCAATGTCTGGCTCCATTTTCTAGATTCCCACCTAGCCTTCTCCAGCTCCTTCCCATACTGGGCCTGGCCCTATCAGCATTTACATTTTCTACTCCTAAGTATCATTAACTTTCTGTAGCTACTCTGCACAGTTTCTCTTTGGAGAGAATTAAGGAGCCTTACAGAGAAGCCTAATGTAGGCCACATACAGAGCTCAGGGACCTAGCTTTTGTGGTCATAGCACTTCCTCCAATCTTTCTCACAAAATGTTCACAGTAGCTCTATGCAGTAGATGTGTGTGTGTGCGCGTGCGCGCGCGCCAATACTAGGCTTGAACTCAGTGCCTAGGTGCTGTCAGCCTTTCCACTTAGGACTGGCACTCTACCATGGAACCACAGCTCCACTTCTAGCTTTTTGGTGGTTAATAGAATATGAGTATCAAGGACTTTCCTACATCTCCAACTGACTTCGAACACAATTCTCAGATCTCACCCTCATTAGTAGTTAAGGACTACAGGTGCAAGCCACTGGTGCCTAGCTTAGGCATTCTTAAAACTCCCATTTACAGTGGGAAGTGAGGTTCTGTTACCTGGGGTCACAAAGGAGCTTGCATTTGAACCCAGGTTAGTGTGACTCCAGAATCCATACAGTGGACCTGCCCCTTCCTGGTGCCTCTAACCTCCCTGCTGCAGAGGGTCAGCCATCTCCTCTGACAGGCCAGCTTCAGAAGTATCTGTGTGGCATCCAGTATGTTGCTGGGTGCTGTAACCACGGGCAGAGGCAAGGAACACACAGAAGCCTTCTGGTCACCGTGGAAATAACCCAACTGGAGTGATTAACGCCAGAGGTCACGGATGCAGTAGTCCCAAGACTGCACCGCCAGGGATGAGCAAGCTAATTAATTTGGGGAAAGACCTCCTTTCCAGTATGGAAAATACCCAAGGTCTCGCATGGAATCACACTGCAGCTGCCTCTGCGCACAAGATCCTTGGGATTCAGCTCCATTTGAAATATATACATACATATACATATATGTATATATATGGACTCATCTTGTGCAGAAATGTTAAATTCTGGAGCTTAAAAATCTTCACTTGGGGGACATCAATTTACTTCTTTGAGGAGGTTGGAATTGAAAGTCGTGAGCCTGAAACTTCCTTTCTTGCCAATTTTCCTGATTTAAAAATAAAGCTTCTCCAATCCTGGCAGATTGCCCTGTATTGGCTGCTCCAAATGATTCCATTAATTGATTTGGGTGACTGGCCTCAAAGTAGTCCTTATTAAGGTTCCACCAGAGCTGGGACAGGTGGCATGACACTGGAACTCTTAAGTAGGCAGGACTCCCTTCCCTGGGGAGGTTACCATAACTCAGGCCGGTGACAGATTCAGGTCTCTGGTGACCATGTCCATGATGATAGGAGAGAGGCTCTGGCTTTATCTCACAGTACCACAGACAGTCCAGAGGGGGCTTTTCAGTTTTATAACCCCCAAAATTGCTGAAGGGTAGGACTTAATGGGGAGCAGATGCAACTGAAAAGGGGACCAAGAGCTCAGGCAAGGACCATGGGAGGCCACATCAGAGAAGCAGGATTGCGTACCTTTCTGCCTAAAGGCTATGAAAGCGGTGAGCTTGGAGGAAAAAGAGTAAAGGTGGACAAAGTGATGATGGATATCTGGGGAGAAGAATGGATGGGTGGATGGAAGGATGGATGGATGGATGGATGGATGGAAGAAAGAGGTGGTAAAGAAGTAATAGGGGGAAAAAGACATAAAAGGGCAGATACATAGTTGGATAGTCAGTGGAATCAACTACTGGGTGGACAAGTATATTGAGTGGGACCATGACCAGATGAGGGAGGAATGAGAGGGATGAATGTATGCATGCATGATTCATGGATTAATGGGTAGATGCATTAGGAAATATAGGGATGGCCGTTTGCACCCCTGGTTCCCATGTCTGGAGAGAGGGATTTTGAAAGCAGAAGAGATAGGAACAAACAGCAAATATGGAACCAGAAACACTGAGGAAGAACAACATTCAGGTCACAATAACCAGAATATTCCGGATCTGGCAAGCATATGTATCTGGCAAAGCAGAAATGGTTGGACTTGGATAATTTGATTATAGCAATAGTTCAAGTTAATAATTATCTGAAAAAGCAACTATATCAAGAACAAAAATAGCTCATGAGAGTATGAAGGCAAGAGAGTGTATTAGTTATCTACTGCTGTATAACAAATCGCCCACAACTGAGTGTCTTAAAACAGCATCTTTCATTTCACAGTTTGAGGAGCAGGAACCCAGCAGAGCTGAGCTGCCTGCTTCAGCTCAGGACATCTCCTAAGGCTAGAAGCTGCAGGCTGGCGGCCAGCACTGCAGTCACCTCATGGCCTCGCTTCTAAACACATGGTTGAGGCTAGGACTCAGTTCCACCTCAGGTGATGGACTGAGGTTTAGTTCTTCACTGTTGACCAGATGCCATCCTCTGTGGGGATTGCAGGAGGCAGTTCACAACATGGCCTCATTTCCATTAGGAAAGAAGAGCCAGAGAGAACACAAACAAGCAAGATTAAGTCACAATTCCTTATAACTCACCTTAGAAGCAATGTCCCATCACTTTGGGGAGCAATTAAAAGCAAGCCAGTAGGTCTATCCCATGCTCAGGAGGAGGGGATGATAGAGCATGATAGCAGGAAGTAGGGAATCAGTAGGAGCATTGAAGAAACCAGGGATGGCAAAGAAACTGGCAGCAGGAGTATCATATTAGAAATTATCTGGAAAATAAGACACATGTGGCACTGGAGAAACTGGACATGAGAAAGCCTTTGGGGGAAGAGAAGCTGGTGGCAAACAAGGGCTCTAGGAGGTGCTGCTGCTAAGCACAAAAGCTGGGAGGCTGGTGCAGAGGAAGAAGGGTCACTGTGGGGGAGGCTGAGTAGCTGGAGCAGAGGTGACTGCAGGTAACCTCCCCAGGAGAGGCTGAGGACCGGGAGGACTGATGGAGCCCAGCAAGGCTTTGGGCACCTGAGGCCTTCATGCCTTTGGCTTTGGGGCAGGTGAATCTCCAGGCAGAGGAATGGCTGCCCCATTCCTTGCACCCAAAGGAGTTATTATGGGCACTCACCTGATCACCTCTCACATGAAATTCCAGTTAGTCCTGCCTTTGCTTTGAGGATCCGTCCTGACTTCCTCCCCTCATGCGAGGTCTCTAGGACCGATTGCAGAGGGCTCATCCCTTGGCAGAGGCAGAAAGTACATGTTCCTCCCAGGATCCCTTCCTCATTCCTGCTAGGCACAGCTTCTTCCTCACCCCCTGCACATCCCCCAAGCCTGTGCCAGCCTGTGGGATCACACCCATGCTGTCACGCACGTCAGAGCTGGGCTGGGTGCCAGCCAGACAGGCTAACATCACAGAAAGCCACAGCCAGACTGAGACAGAGCCCATACCATGGGGGAGGGGTGCTGCACAGCCCCCCACTTCCACAGACCGACTGGGACAGTGCCACCCCTGCTAGGAGAAGGCAGCTGGCACACACCAAGATGCCTCCTGAACGCCTTGTGCCCTGGCCTGTACGTTCTCCCTGGGCAGCCCTGGTCCGCCCTTCTGGTCCTGGTAATCTGTCTGCATCTCCCCAAGGGCAGCTGCTACCCACTAGACCTGGTCTTTGGAACGCTGGTTCTACCCATGCAAAGTACCATGGTCCCAGTCTGTGGGGCAGCCACAGGGGCTTACAAATTATATGTTCCAACTGCCCCCAGACTTTTCCACCTTTGCAAGCTCTGTTCTGCCTCTCTCAGTGCTGAAGTCAAACCTACCCATCAGTCTTCCCCTGACACCCAGACAAAATGAGGCTACTTTGCTGTAGAAAAAGGACCCAGGCCTACTGAGTTACAGTCATGAACTCAGGCACCAGAGGGCCTGGGCTTGGGGCCTAGCTTTGCCATGTAGAACTTAGTTAACCTCAGACAAGCCTCAACTTTCCCATCCATAAAATGAGGCTAATTCTAGCACCTGCCTCCTGTGATACTATGAGGGATCAAAGGATTAATGCAAGTAAGGCACACTTAGGTAAAGCCTGTACACACTGACTGTTTAATAGATGTTAGAGAAAATTTAACTTTTAAAAAGTCAGTCTTGGGGCTAGGAAGATGGCTCAGTGGTAGAGCACTTGCCTTGCATGCATGAGGCCCTGGGTTCGATTCCTCAGTACTCCATAAGCAAAAAGCCGGAAGTGGCACTGTGGCTCAAGTAGTAGAGAGCTACCCTTGAGCTGAAGAGCTGAGGGACAGCACCCAGCCCAGAGTTCAGGCCCCACGACCGGACCCCCCCAAAAAAAGTCAGTCTTTCCAGGTACCTGTGGCTCACATCTGTAATTCTAGCTACTCAGGAAACTGAGATTTCAGGATCAAGGTTAGAAACCAGCATGGGTAGAAAATTCCAAGAGACTCTTGTATAACTAATGAGCAAAAAGCCAGAAATGAAGGTATGGCTCAAGTGGTATAGCACCAGCCTTGAGAATAAAAGCCAAACAAGAACAGTCCTGAGTTCAAGTCCCAGTATCACACACACACACACACACACACATGTTGGTCTGAAAAATCACTTGTGCCAGGGCAAAGAATCTGGGTTTCCAAGAAGTGAGTCATTGTTGGAATCTCATCTTTACCGCTCTCCCTCAGTGTGCTTTGCCGCCCCTCCTCCCAGGGCGGGCCTCAGTTTCCACATCGGAGCAATAGGTGGCTCTCCTAAAGAATGCCAGCCGAGGTCAGTAACCCCAGCCTGGCTATGTGGACTTGCAAAACACATTTCCTGGGGGCCTCAGTAACCACATGGGCTTTCCCCTCTCTCTTGCTACCCAGAAATCTAAGATCTCCACCTTTGAGAAGATGTGGGCCTTCATGAGCAGCAAGCCCTCGGCGCTGGTGAAGAACAATGAGGAGGGCATTCAGCGGACACTAACAGCAGACTACGCACTGCTAATGGAGTCTACCACCATCGAGTATGTCACCCAGAGGAACTGTAATCTCACCCAGATCGGGGGCCTCATCGACTCCAAGGGCTACGGCATCGGCACCCCCATGGGTGAGCAGGGGCGCCAGTAGTGGGAGGGTGGCAGGACATGAAGAGGGGGTGGATGAGAGTGCCCTCATCGCCAGGCACACATGTGGTCCCCCACCTTGACCCATTGAACCTAAAACGGTGGTGCTTCCTCAGCCATAAGCACAGGGATGGAGCATACCAGAAGAGTCATGCTTTGCCCTAAGCAGTGACGGCTAGGACAAAAAGCATGGGGGTGTCGATTCTCTTCCTCACCCCACCCTGCTGGTTCAGCACCTTTTATGGAGACTGGCCCTCAGTGAACAGGACCTCCCACCAGGCCCCCTGCATAGATTTAGAGAAAGACCTCAGGGATAGGATCCTCCTCGCTAGGCGCTGACTGAGCGCTGACTGAGCTGACCCAGAGCGCTGGCTCTGCCCAGAGGCGTCCAAGAGGGCAAGAGGATGCCACCAACAGCCAGGGGTCCCCTCTCCCACTGCCAGGTTCTCCATACCGGGACAAGATCACCATCGCCATCCTGCAGCTGCAGGAGGAGGACAAGCTACACATCATGAAGGAGAAGTGGTGGCGGGGCAGTGGATGTCCTGAAGAGGACAACAAGGAGGCCAGCGCCCTGGGCATCCAGAAGATCGGTGGCATCTTCATTGTCCTGGCTGCCGGCCTGGTCCTGTCGGTGCTGGTGGCTGTGGGCGAATTTGTGTACAAGCTGCGAAAGACAGCAGAGCGAGAGCAGGTGAGGCCCAGCTGGGCTGCACAGGGGGAGGGAACCATGAGATTGGTTTGGTTTCCATCCTCCTATAGTCCGGGCACACTGTGACATGAGCCACCCTGTCTCCAGCCCCCTGGGAAGTCCTGCCAGCTCTACCTCGGTCCTGATGAAGCACATTTCCCACCACTGTTTCTCCACCCCAAGCCAAGTCGCCATTGCCACCAGCCTGGAGGCCACAACCTCCAAACTAGCCTCCTGGCCTCTACGCTTTCCAAAAGTAGCCTTTCAACCTCTGTGCTTCCCCACTGCCATCCACAAGTCGTACAGCAGCTGGTACCCTGTTTAAAACTTAACTCAAAAATATATTATCTCCTTTATTAAAAAAAAAAACCCAGGTTGATTGTTCAAGCTGGGTGATGGTAGCATTTGAGGTTCATTATACTCTTCTCACTACTTTTGCATATATTTAGAAATTTCCATAATCGAAAGTTTAAAAAGAAAAGAAGGAGAAGAAAAGAAAAGTTAAGAGGGCTGGCCCAGGCGTGCAGACAGTGGAACTAGGCTTTACCAGCCTGATTAATTCAAGTGTGGCTGGGCAGTAGTTCTGAGTCCCTGTAGCAAATTAGAACCATAGGGAGAGTTTTAAGTGCTAATGCCCTGGCCTCACTCCCAGACACTGTTTAATTGGCCTATGGTGGAGCCTGACTTTGGCATTTTTCAAGAAGCCTACGGTGTGGTTTAAATGCACACCTGAGCTGACAGACTTTAGGTCAGGGCATCACCCCTTCCAGAGAGATTCAAAGGGATCCAGGTCCAGTGTGGCAGGAGACTGCAAGTGGACTAATGGTGGAGGGCCCATTACAGCGGGAAGCTGCTACAGCTATCCAAATGAAATGGAGGTAGGCACAATGGCGCCTGTCTTTGATCCTAGCTACTCGGGAGGCAGAGATCATCGAGAGGATCATGGTTTGAAACCAGCCTTGGCAAAGGTTTTGGAGATTCCATCTGGAGTCTGATGGTAAATGCCTATCATCTCAGTTCTGCTGTAAGCATAAATAGGAGGTTCAAGGTCCAGACAGCCCAGGAAAACATGTGAGACCCTATTTGAAAAATAACTAAAGCAAAAAAGTTGGAGACATGACTCAGTGGTAGAGCACCTGCCTAGCAGGTGCAAGATCCTGAGTTCAAACCCCAGTACTCCCTAGAGGGTGGGGGAGGGAGAGAAGGGAAGGGAGAGAGGGAAGGGACAAGAGAGGGAGAGAGAAAAAGAAAAAGAAGGAAGAGAAGGGAAGGAGAGGAAGGAAGATTTTTTGGGTTGGAGATTGCTAGCCAATGAGCAAAAGCACTGAGTTCAAGTCCTGGTTTCAGACCTAAAAAATAAAGAGAAAAGAAAAGAAAGAAAGACTCTTTAGAATTCCCAGTTAGGATAGCACTGGACTCTAATTCCACCCAAAAGTCCATGGGAGGGACCTCCTTCCTTACTCTGCCCTGCCCTGTACAAACTGACCTTTTTAGACCACACCACAAGCATTTCTCTTCCTCACAGTCTTTTCATGTCCTGTTCTACTCATGTGTGAAGCTCTGCCCCCGTACACCATATTCTTGGTACCATCTGGTCACTCACTCAGGTTTTACCTCACATCACCCTGGCTGCTCCCGTCCGCAGCCTCTCTCTATCCCAGTTCACCGCCTTATTCTCTTACAGTGATCAATCATAGTTATCATTGCCTAGAATTATTTGTTTCTCTCACCTTTGTTCAGTTTCTGTCCCATCATACGACCACAGTTCCCTCAGGCTAGGATCAAATGCATAGCTCCAAACCTCACACCTTGGACAGTGCCAGGCAAATTGTAGAGTCTCCATAGATACTTACAGAATGTAAAAAGGCAGTCTGGAGGGTGGCGATAATTTGTATCTAGTAGGTAAGAAAAGAGTCCAGAAAAGGCCACAACTGGTAAGAGGCAGAGCTGGAATTTAAAGCCTTCCTGTGCTAATGTTCTGGCCTCACTGGGGAAGTTGGGTCATCACCCACCCCACTGCACTCCATACAAATGCAGGACAATATTTGCTGTCAAAGCCACCGCCGTCAGATACCTGTGACAACCTGCACATTTGCCATGCCTCTTGGCTACCTGCAAGGACCCGGTCCAGAAGGAGATTACTGCCACCAACAGCCCTGCAGGGACCTGCCTCCCAATTGCCCCCTTCACAAACATGCGCTGGGGTTTCCTCAGTGTCCCGTGGTTGGAATGAATGGGCTACCTATGTGTCCATAGTGTTTCTGGACTGTGACAGGTTCCTGCCCTAGAGTCCAGGGCAGGTAAATGAAGCTCATCAGACTTTTAACACACATGCCAATCAAAGCCTTGATGTGCTCATCTGTGAAAAGGGGAGAGATGAGAGATATTACTACCTGCCCTTTTTACTTTAGTCTCCAAACAAGCATGTGGGCTTTGCAATCATCTTTTAATGGGGATGGGGGGGAGAATGGGAGAGGAGCAGAGGGATGGTGAGGCAAAGGTATAGGGAAGACAGGATAGCCTCAGCACAGACTTTGGAGGAAAGAAGCTAGCAAAAGTTGAAGAAGCAGGAGCTACTCATGTGCCCCTTTTCCTCCTGCAGAGATCCTTCTGCAGCACTGTGGCCGATGAGATTCGTTTTTCTCTCACTTGCCAGCGTCGAGTCAAGCACAAACCACAGCCTCCCATGATGGTCAAGACAGACGCCGTCATTAACATGCACACATTCAATGACCGCCGGCTTCCGGGCAAGGACAGCATGACCTGCAGTACATCATTAGCCCCTGTGTTCCCCTAGGCACAGGGGAGGTGGGGACTGTAGGCCTGGCACAAAACAGAGCAGAGCAAAGGAGACCAGAAGGAACATCCCTAACCCAGACTGGGTTTGGGGACAGACCCACTGCCTGCATGTTGGGCCAGGAACCCTCTGTTCTTCACCTACCAGGAAACCCGCAGGCCCTCAGGCCAGCTTCTTGGGCTTCATTGTCTTCTTGTCTCTTCTGTGGGATTCTAAAGCTGCCAGCCAAGATAGCCAAGGCCAAAGGAAGCACATGCCTCTCTCAGGCCAAACTCACCCTCCCACCCCTCTACTCTCCTCCAGCATCAGACGTTTCTGCCAAGGCCCTGTAGAGGCCACAGAAAATGGGAGGCAGCTCTTATATTGCCACTTTATCCCCAAGAGCCCAGATCTCCTAGGGCTTGACTGAGACTAGAGGCACAAACCTTGGGCGCCTTAAGGATATTATAGTGTGGATCCCAATGGAAGCCAGGGGATGGCCAACCTATATTCCTTGGAAAAGGAAGACTTTAACCCCTTAGGGTCTATTCACATGGCCCTGATCTTTGGACATAGCTTCATCCATGATAGCTCCTTTAGGAGCTTGGGTATGGGAGAGAAGAGAATGCACAGATAGATGCCGCCATTTTAGATTCTTATGGACAATGCCTCAATGGCTCTCCTCTAGAAAGTCTTGAGGAATATAAATGGAGTGGTGACCACAGCAAATTCCCCTTCACTTTCTGGCCATAGGAGAGAAGACCTGTTAAATCCCTCACAAAGGATGCCCAAAGACTCCACTGATACTGGAAGCCCAGCAGAAGTACAGTAGATTCTAGGAAAATCCCCTGAGTCCTTGAGCCATGGACCTTATTTTGCTGGTTAACAAGCTGTTTTCTAAACCCTGTTGGCATGTTGGAACTTGAGCTCTTTGCCATCTATTCATCAGCAACTCCTCATTTTTATCCAGTTGAACTCGGCCTCCCTCTGTCATCCTAGAAAGAAGAGGAACCGAAATTGAAGTGAAAGTCACCCTCCTCAAAATAAGGGCCAATATCCTACTGTACAAGCTAGCATGGGGGAAAAATCCAGAGACGACCCAAAAAAATCTTCTGGACTTGCCAGACCTGAAGATATCCCCACCAAAAGAAAAAAAGCTTTAGGGACAAGATATCCCTAAATATCCTAGGGGGTAGCTGCAGAAGTCCCAAGGATGGGGAAGGGAGAAGCTGCCTCTGGAGAATTAACCAAAGACCCAACACAGAGACACAAGGCCGCCCTGGCCCCTTGTCTCTTGTCCGGAGCAGCTACAGCCTTATGAGGCTTAGGGAAGACAACAGAGGAGTGGCAGCAAACGGAGACCGGTGAGGGCAGGGCCAGATGACTCGTGGGTCCAGCTTGTTTCGATGAGTTCTCTGAAAGTCAAAGACTCACACATTCTTAGAAATGAATCAGACATGAAGGGTTAGGTACAAAGTGTCCTTAAAGAGAGCATGATAGGGCCAGCAGGTCTCCCACAGCCAAGGGTAAGGCTAATCTCTGAGCAGGGCTGGAAATTCTGGACAGAGAACCAGGGACCACTAGCCATCCCCTTTCCCTCTCTCTCCTGGTGCTGCTGAGAAGAGTGACATTTCCACTTCCAAGACCTTCTCAGCAGAGGTAAGGAGAGCAGAGCAGGAGAGCCGTTGGGCTCCTGTGATCCAGCCTGTTTCTCCTCCAGGCTGGGAACCACAAGACCCAACTCGCTGCCTCCCCAGGCCCCGCAGCTCTGATGGCTGTCTACACTGGAGCGGGGAGAAGGGGGCTTAGACATCCAGCAGACCCCAGTGCATGGAATGATAGGGAAAGCCATGTTGCCAGGAGGTAGGGTGTGCACATGCATGTGTATTTGTCTGAGTTTGTGTGAGTTTGGGGGGCTGAGAGTAAAGGACAGATATGGACTGTGTTATAGTCCAGAGCATGCAATAATAGGGGACTCCTTTGGGATCTGAGTGTGTGCGTGCACGTGTGTGTGTGTGTGAGAGAGAGAGAGAGAGAGAGAGAGAGAGCGCAAATTGGAGATGAGGGAGACAACTCTGAACCAGCAACAGAGCCCTATCTATGTAAAAACAGAAGAAGCCATGTTGTGATGGGGTTCTGGTGAGTTGATTCATGTATGTGTGCTTGTGTGTGTGTGTGTGTGTGTGTGTGTCTGTGTGCATTTGTTCAGTGAACAGTAGAGGGTGGAGGGCAGGATAAAACCTGCAGCATAGCCAAATATGTGCAAAAGGAGAAGCCATGTCACCAAGGAGTCCATCTGTGTGAGAGAGAGAGTGTGTGTGTGTGTGTGTGTGTGTGTGTGTGTGTGTGTGTGTGTGTGTGTGTGTGTGTGTGTGTGTGTATGGTGTATCTACATGGATGTATGCGTATGTGCCTAGCCAAGAGCAGAAAGAGAACAGAATCAGACTGTCTTGCTGCATGGGATAATGCATGTTGAATGTCAGGAGCTTTGTGGGATTGGAGTATGTATGTGTGTGCTCACATGTGTCAGTCACGCACATATGATTCAGCTCACAGTGGAAGCAGACATGGACAATCAGAAAGCAGGATGTCAGGGTCTGTTTGCATGCTTGTCTTGGAAAGGATCATTTGCCACAGATTTCCTGAGGTCATGTAGGGAGGGACACAGGAAGACAGCCAAGTGGAAGCAAAACTCATTGGGGGCTCATGGCTGCTGGCTCCTTGGTTATAGGCAGATTGTCCTGTTTAGAGGGACCTTTTTTTTTTTCCAACTCCTGGTAAGAGTTTGCTGTCACCTGTCATTAACCACTGTCCTATGTTGTCCAATAGAGTTCCATACTACATGTCCACATCATACTCAAGTTACACACATGTGCTTTTGTGCGTGACACTTTTATGAATGTGTCATGTTCTTTTGAGGCTATGCACATACATAGATTGTGATGGGAGAAGGAAAAGGAAGTGGCGTGAGATGGGAAGAGTTTCATGAAAGGAGTAAAGAACGGTGGGTCAACGAAAGTACGGTTTAACTAGGGAAGTCTCCACCAAGGTACTGGACTGGAATCATTTTTAGACTCCTGCAAGGATGAGAGATTGTATATGCCATGTGATCTCCCCTCCCACTGCTGCCTTACGCCTAGACATGAGGCTGATGTTCACACTCTGCCCAGTGTCCTGCGCTTGTCCTCAAGACCACCCTGCCTGTCTGAGCTGTCTCTCCAGGGCATTGAATTGATGCTCCAACTGTGAGATGGGAGGGAAGGAGGGCGAGAGAGGTGTTCCCAGTGCTCCTTGGGCCTAGAGACAGGGGCAGATCACATGGCATGGCATGCACAGGAGTGTGTGTATACACATGTGTGCATATGTGTGCACAGAGGCACTGAGGAGCAACAGGAAACATAAATACTGGTTTGGACAGAGCAAAAGCAACGTGCCTGAGCAGGCACCTGGCTGTCCCCTGTGGTCCTATATGCTAGTCCTGAACAGAAGAGCATGTCACCCACACATACACAGTGCCAGGGCTGGCCCTCCACCTGCTTCCTGGGACACACTGAGGAGCAACCATGTGGAGACCGCCCTTCCCCAGCCCCCACCAAGGCCCTGGGGTTTGGGGATAATGAGCCTCCTGACTGCCCCTTGATCTACTGCAGGTCTCTTGATCCCCTGAGGGAAAATGATCCCCTGACCAGTGAGCTGAACTCTGAGTCTCAGAGGCACAGGAGAACTATCCACTTTCGGTGCATTCTCCCAGCTGGAAAAGCACATCCAGGCTCCGGCTGCAGGCCGCAGCACAGGACGTCACCAACCCTGGCCCAGGATGGGGCCGGGGTTCCAAAGAAGTTAGGCATGGCTTCCCCTCCTTAAATCCTGAGGATGGAAAGGCAGAAGTCAGACCCAGGCACGCATTCACCAAGAACCAGAATACAGAATATCCCTTCCTGCCTTCTTTCCTAGAAGGCAGGGGACAGGAGGTAGCCACTACTTCCTCACTCAACCTGAAGTTGATCCCTCCCTGAGTCAGCCCTGCCATCTGCACCAGCATCAGAGAACAGGCTTGTCCGGGTCTGGAATTGTCCGTGTGAATACCCAGCTGAAAAAAAAGGGCCCAGCTGTATGAACCAGACCAGCCCCACCGACAGATGCAAGAAACAGGCCCATAGCCCTATGGATGGGTCTCTGGATTGGACACATCTGGAAGTCCTAGGTCAGGAGAACACATCTGGGATGGGCTGAAGCAGTTAGCTACTATGGAAGGAAGGCTCCTTCCCTTCATCCCCATGCCAGTTTGAATCAAGTTCTCATTCCTGTCCTGGATTTGTCCTAGAGTTAAAATTGTAGAGCTGAGGTGGTATGTGAAGTCACAGAAATGTTTTAGGTAGAAGGTTAATGTTTTGTACTATATATATATATATATATATATGAATGTAATATATATGCTGTATATATATATATACATATATGCACAGTGTATATATGTCCCATACTCCCTGTGTATACAACCCTTTCCCGCACGTCTGCACACAGAGTGTTCAGAACCCAGCCAGTCTGGGTGGGAACTTGATGAGAGACACATGGGGAGGGAGGGTACCACAGCAAGGTCCAAAACAGAGGTTGCAGTGCTCTCAGGTTGGGGCAGGCCGACAGCATGTGAGGCTGGAAGATGGGAGGTGGGACCTTGTCTCCTGGAAGTGGTCTGTGGCAGGAAGGGGGAGGTGGGGGGAAGATTGGCTGGGAAGTAGAATTGAGCAGTGCTTCACCCCTGTGCCAACATCACAGTCTCAACCCAGGGCAATCGGGGGAGCTGGGACCGAGGGGGCCGCCCCCAGGTCTGTTCACATCCCTGCCTGCGGAGTTCAACGGATAGGTGTCAGGCTTTGCCTGCAGTGCAGTCTAGGAGGCAGGGTGATTCCTGAAGGTGGCCGCAGCTTCAGCTTCTCACCCCTCTCAAAGGTGCCCACAGCACATGCTTGTGCAAAACACTTTCTGAAGAGAAAGGCCCAAGGGCATTGCCGGTATGCCAT